CTCTCCCCCCAAAGGCAAACTAAAGTATACTACTATGATGGAATAGTTAATGGGAATAGAAGCCAACTGAAAGTTCCCATTGGCCAAACCTGGAGCAACAAAATAAACAAATAAACATTTCTTTATTAACCAATGTATAAACAAAATATTCATAAATAAATGCATTTTATTTATTGATATAAAAGATTTCATAAATAGATAAATGAGAGAATATTCTGTGTAGATAAATTTCAAATAATTTATATAATACTCTGTTCTCAAGGAGGTGGTCCCTAACACAAACCAGGTAATCAAGGTAAACATCAATCATGTGGTAAATCACATTGATAGTATATACCCTTCATAAACAAAAAGGTATGCATAGCACACACCCATCATATAACCTTGATGTCTTGAAAAAGGCACTTTACTTCTGTGTCTTCCTCCTGAAAATACATTCCTTCAATCTGATCATGAGAAAAACATCAGACAAATCCAAACCAAGATATATTCTATAAAAGACCTAATGAGTACTCTTCAAAACTGTCAAGGTCATTGAAAAGAGGAAAATCTGAGAAACTGTCATTTATAGCCAAGAGGAGTCTGAGAAGACATGCCTACTAAATGTTCTGTCGTTTGCTGGATAAAATCTGTACCAGGAAAAAATGGCATTAAGGGAAAACTAAGGAATATGAATGATGTATGGACAGCATTTAACGAAAATGTATTAACAGTGTAGTGCTAATTGTGACAATGTACGAGATGCTCATAATGAGGAAACCTGAATATGGACTGTATAGGAACCTCTGCCATGTTCTCAATACTTGTGTAGATGTAAAACTGCATTAAAATAGAAAGTTGAATTTTAAAAGGAGGAAGTTTGGAAAATTTACAGTATGTGAATTGAAATTAACATACATTGCTAAACTATGGTAATAAAGACTAGTGTCAGCATTAAGAGACACACAGGATGATGGATAAATACATGGTCTAGAAATATATTCACATTAATATTATCAATTGATTTTCAGTAAACTTAATAAGGTAATTAATTCAATGAAGAAAGAGTTTTTTAACAAATGAAAATGGAAGAGTTGGATATCTACACACATAATACAAAAATATTTTGTTTGTGTTTATAGAAAAGTAGATAAATACACTTTAGAGACATGTATAGAGAGAAATCAAATGTCATTTTTAACTATTGAAAAAACAACGTGACATATGAGCATTCTTTTCACTATTTTTGAAACTTATCTGTATGTATAAATGTTTTGAAAACTAAATATTTGGGGGGAGAATATAATAATAGAGTAAAACAGAGAATAATAAAGGCTGCACTGCTGGGTGCAGTGATACAACCTGTATTTCCAGCAACTCAGGAGGCTGAGATGGGGATCACACGGTGTAGGCCAGAATCACAACTACAGAGACCTGCCTCAAAAAAAAATTAAAAATAAATAGATTGTAGATGCTTCTCGGAGCTAAAGCACCTCAGTACCAAAACAAAACAAAACTGCTTTATAACACTTCTCAAAATGACTTGAAATAATTAAATTTGATTGCATTAAATATTCTAGCCACAGCAATCAATGGCTTTAAAATGAAACAAAAGGGAGCGGTAAATGCTGACAAATATGCAAGAGATTAGAGTAAGAAAATGACAGAATAAAAATCAATTGAATTTAGCATCATGAAGGTCATTTGTAACTTACAGGAAAGTAGTCTCCATGGGCACTGAGGGTGGAAATGAATTGTAAGTAGATGGGTGTAAATAAACAGTGAATAAATAAAAACAGCTTAGCAATAACCTCTTTGAGGAGATAGATACAAGAAATGTTTCTATTCTAGCAGGACAAAACCAGGAGTAAAGGGATGCAAAAGTAAGGTTTGGGACTGTGGGGAGAGATAGCAGATTTTGCATTGGTTGGCTTCTATTTTTTAAATGGAGAATGAAGCAAAGGTCTTCACATTAAATTTAGTCTGGAGAAATCGAGAAGCCTGAAGAGTTGGAAAGTTAACTTTTTAGAAGATCATAGTAAGATTTATGTACTATTGTGACAGTCCAGAATGAATTTGTAATAGAATATGGAATATTCATGGATGTACATAAATTATTGTTAATTAGGTAACAGTGTATGTTTTGCATTTATCTGAAACTCTGTTCACTCAGAACACTGTATAGAAATCATTACAACAAATTTAATTACTCAAACATATCAAATGTGTTTCAACTATTAGATTAGATACATTCATACAGTGGAACACTACTCTCCTGCAAAGAGGAAGAAACAAAGTTCTGAAACATGCAGCAACATGGAATCTAAAATGTCTTATGTTAAGTGTAGGAAGGCAGACTTGAAACAATGCAAAATGCAGAAATTCATCTATATGAAGTTCTAAAATATGCAAAATGATAACCTATAGAAAATAAACCAGTAATGACTTATGGCCCAGGGATGATAATGGAGTAGGCTACACGGGCATTCTTGGGCATTTCTTATAATTGATGAAATTGTTTTAACTTTTGATTGTGGTGATGTTTACATGCTCTATGTGTTCATCAAGTCTCATAAAACTGTACACTAAAAGGAAAACTCTTATTATATGTAAGTTAAATATTTTTGCAGTTATTTTCTCATTTCAAGAATATGTATTTTTATCTTTTTAACACAACAAGAGTTTTAATACTAGTCCTAAATTCTCATTTTATTGGTTCTTCAATATTAAGATGCCATATCTTAATATTAAAAATGTAGAGTTTTGGACTTTAGATATTGCCTGAGGAAACTAAACAATTACATGAAATATGATAAAAGTGGTCTTGACAGTCTCTCAAAGTAGAAATTCCCACTGTCCTTCCAAGTGGATGTTACAGGTTTATCAGAGATGCTGATCACTTGTAGTTCCAGGGGCAGCTGAGTAGACCTTGGGCCCCAGTGCTCCTAAACTAGCCATTTCAGCAGGAAGCAACTTCAACTGTTGACTCACATTCTGACAAGGCAATGGGAAATTTATTTTTTTCCTCTAAACATAATGAACCTGTAAAGGGAAGATACTGCTACACATGTGCTATGCATGCTGAAAGAAAGTCCCTAATTGTCATGAGAGTATGGCATAGTAACATACATGACAGAACCAACACTTCTCTATGGGTCTGTACAGTGATGGCAAAGTAACAGAGAAGAAGGTAAGAATCGTTTTTGTATGTGTGGTGCTGAGGATTGAATCCAGGGCCTTGTACATGTGAGGCAAGCACTCTACCAACTGAGCTATATCCTTAGCTTAAGAATCACTTTCATAACAGGAGAAAAACTAGGGGAAAAATGCAATAGCATGATGAAGAGGGAAACGCTAGAATCAACTAAACACATCATCTGTTTTTTATTTCCTATTCCCTCTACTAATTTTTTAACTGAGTAACAGTTTTCAAAATTATCTAAGACAAATTTTTTTAATTAATGGTGGACTATAGATATTTCTAAGTATTGAAGGAAATGGAGGTGAGAAGTATAGTAACATGAGTGAAGATACAATTCCAAGGAATACTTTACATCTTTACCAAATGAGTACCATGGGAGACATGTACCAAGGAATGAAATTACTCCAGGGCCTTGAGGAATTTCAGAAGATGTGCTCTATGTAAACTAAATTCCTTTTCTGGAATGGAAAAGTAGTGCCAGCAAGAAAATTGTCATTGCATGGTTGCCCATTTCTCAGAGAGCTCTAGAGATCCTTCAAGTTGGGGATGAGGATGTGGGAAGTTATTAAGGAAAAAAGTATCTGAACTTGATCCTTGGAATCATGATAGGTAAACAGATATTTATCAAATTATTTCATATGTGCCCTGAATATACATTGCTATAAAAACTTTACAAGGAAAATATTTTAGAACAAACAGAAAATCACAGAAGGGTAGCCAGCCATTGCAGATAGGAAAAGACCATTTGAAATGGGGAATGATCATATATTTTCCAATATGGAAAATTTCTGTATGGGATTGGATCTAGACCTATTCTATTTTAGAAAGATGATAAGAAGATATAATTTTATAACTTCTGCTAGAAATCATAGAAGACAAAAATATAGCCAAATACTGCAAACAGTTTCCTGATATTAAATCAGGGGACAATATCAATTTATTCATTCACCAAATAATAATAAACACAGAATACATGTTAGTTCCTATGATAGATTGGAAACCAGAACAATGAAAAAGAAACCTTGATTTTCGCATGAATTGGACTGAATAAGATAATAGACATTAAAGTTGAGGGGAAATGAGATAATTCACTAGGGTTGGAAGTTAAATACTACAATTTCTCTTTAAATTCTCACTTATAAATAATAAATATATAAAGCTATACTAATATTTAATGTACAAATTGGCATGAAATTCCTTTTTGAGCCCAAATGCAAGACCTCATATGTGCTGTATAACTTCTTGAGATAACCTGATGAAACTGTGGGAGTTCAATAAGACAGGTGACCTTGCTCCAATTTGAACTGTTGTAAGCACACTAGTTAAGTATCTCGACAGATCACATTGTCTAGTTTTAATAAAACACACACCAAAAATGAGGAAGAAATCTTAAAAAAATTTTATAAAGTAGTCCACAAACGGCAGGCAATTGTCTTAATATAAGTATAACTATTAGAAACTGATCTTGATTCTTCTTTATTTTTTATCAGACACTTATGAGTTAAAATCAATAATACTTCCATGAGGTCTAATATAGTCATGTTCATTAATAGTATTGATATTGACTAAAGGGCGCTTTCTCCAAATAAGTCCCGAAAAGGGGCACTTTCCTGCAGCTGCGGCCAGCGGTGCCAACGTCAGGCTCTCCCCCAGCCGGTGCTGACGTTGGCGGCCCCGCCTCGGTGACCTCATCGCCTGGACGGCAGCGGATGGGGGGGCGGGGAGAGGCGGGGGCGGCCTAGCGCAGGCAAAGGCTGCAGGGCCTGGGCGTGGCTGCTGTAGCTCTCTCAGGAGCAGAGCCAAGCCCAGCCGATCGCCCGCTGAGTGCGCCCCTGCGCCTCCGTGCCTTGGCTGGCCTCAACTCCCTGGAGGCGGTGTAACGCAAGATCCAGGCCCTGCAGCAGCAGGCGGTCGAGTTGGAGGACCGCGCTCAGAGCCTGCTGCGGGAGCTGGACTGCGAGCGCGAGCAGCGCGAAAAAGCCAAAGATGATGTGGCAGCTCTCAACAGACGCATCCAGTTGGTGGAGGAGGAGCTGGACAGGGCCCAGGAACGGCTGGCCACTGCCCTGCAGAAGCTGGAGGAGGCAGAAAAGGCTGCGGATGAGAGCGACAGGGGAATGAAGGTGATACAAAACCGCACCATGAAGGACGAGGAGAAGATGGAGATTCAGGAGATGCAGCTCAAAGAGGCCAAGCACATCGCCGAGGAGGCCGACCGCAAGTACGAGGAGGTGGCTCGGAAGCTGGTCATCCTGGAGGGCGAGCTGGAGAGGGCAGAGGAGCGTGCGGAGGTGTCTGAACTAAAATGTGAGGACCTGGAAGAAGAACTCAAGAATGTCACTAACAATCTGAAATCGCTGGAGGCTGCATCTGAAAAGTACTCTGAAAAGGAGGATAAATATGAATTAGAAATTAAACTTCTGTCAGACAAGCTGAAGGAGGCCGAGACTCGCGCTGAATTTGAAGAGAGAACAGTGGCCAAACTGGAAAAGACGATCGACGACCTGGAAGAAAAACTTGCCCAGGCCAAAGAAGAGAACATGGGCCTACATCAGACACTGGATCAGACACTAAATGAACTTAACTGTATATAACCAGAACCGGAAGAGTCTTGTTCCAACAGAAAACCTAGAGCTCCATGTCTTTCTCTTCTTTTGTAACAAGTTTCTTTTGTTATTGCATCTTCGCTTTACTGGGATTTCAAGCAAATTATGATTATGTGACCAAATATTTTGTATCAAAGAAGCTTTGGGCACCAATTAAATCTAATTCCTCCTCCTTTTTTTTTTTTTAATTTCCAAATGGCACCAGCTTTCTCAGCTCTACTTTTATCCTTTATCATTTATTCCTAAGGTAGGCAGGGCGTTTCATACTGAGCACACTCCCTTCAGATGGAGGGCTTTTGGTTCCTGGGAATATAGTCAACCCCACACTTTCAAGAATAGGCTCCGATGTCTAGTCATGGGTTGATTTAAGATGCTAACGGGTGTAACGGTTCTGGGTCACTGTTGGCCAAGTTACAGGAGGCTAGGGACCATCACAATAAAATGGGTGGGGATTTCCCATCCAGAGCAAAAAAAAAAAAAAAAAAGAGCCAGCGTGGGAAACCATGAACCATAGATAAACCTAGTCATCCCGCCCTTCTCCACACTCCACTGTGCAGAATATATATCCTTGGAGCAGTCAGCTTGACAGTGCTTGGGAAATAGTCATAATGTTTACCCAGGTATTGCCTGGATAATCCTTGATACTATGTTCTACATTTTTCTTTCATTCTAAAGTTGTCATCTGATGAGCAAGTGTCTTACTTATTCTAATAATGACCCAAGCTTATCGGCTCTCGGGGCCATACCTGAGCAGGAATATTGTGCAGTACAGTCCTGTTAGGGTCAGCCATATCAAAAAGACTGCTAGCCATCCATAAATTACACAGAAGAGTTGTTTTGGTTTTTTTTCTGTTAACAAACATGTTGGGCAGAAGGGGTCTCTCTGGCAGCAAAGTAGATATAGAAAAGTAATTGGCCTGATGTCATCTCCATCCATCAGGGAATGGCAAATTATCCAAGATTTGAATTCCTTCTTTGGGACCAAGTTAATAAAATACCAAGAAACTTCTGATGAAACTGGATATGGAGAACTTTTACGCAGGGGTTGCACATTTTGGCTTTGTTGTATTTTTGCTTTCTCGGTCAACATCTCAGAGCTGAAACATTCCACATTTCCCCAACAGTGTGGGGACCAACTTGAGTTTACAATTCTGACTAAATTCACCCTGCTTCCAGCTTTTCCAAATCCCCTGCCCCTCACTCCTATTTATTAAGCATCACAATACCCAGGAGATACACTAGCAAATTGTGCAGCTGAATAAAATCCACACTTTTCTTTAGATCCTTGTGAATGTATCATATGTAATAGTATCACTTTTTCTACATTTTGGTCAAATAAATTTTTATATAAATGAAAAAAATATTGACTAAAATATAATTATTAAAATCTAATGAGAAGTTTTCTACTAATAGGAAATTTTGAAAATTATTTTCAAAAAAGAAAATAATTAATATTACATTCACCTTTTGCTCATTCTTTTTCTATTTCTATAATTGGCAAAGTTTTATAATTAGATATCATTTATTTTATTATGTTTATATTTTAATACAGGCCATAATTTACATATTGTGTTAGCTTTTCATTGCTGTGACAAAAAATCAACTCAGTGAAGGAATGATTTATTTTGTCTCACAATATCAGAAATTTTAGTCCACGGTCTCTTGGTATCATTGCTCTGAGTTTGAGGTAAGGCAAAACATCAAGGCAAAAGGGTGTATCAGAGCTGCTTACCTCAGAGAAGCCTGGAAGCTCTTGCCTAGCATGTGTGAAGCACTGGGTTTAATCTTTAACATTGCATGAGAAAAACAAACAAATAAATGTTACCTTCAAACAACAAACAAACAAAAGAAAGATGTCCTTCTAGGACATGTGTCTTCTGGCTTATTTCCTCCAACCAGGCCCCACTTCCTGCAGTTTCCATTGTCAATTCCCAATAATGCCAAATTATAATTTCATCAATGGGTTAAACCTTTTGTGAGGTTAGAGGCCTCATGATGTAATAACTTTTTCAAAGGCCCCACTTCTGAACACTTCTGCATTGGGGATCAATCTTTCCATTGGGAGATATTCTAGATGAATACGATAACATATAATTAAAACATTAGTATACAAATTCATGAAAATAATTACTTTATGAGAGGCACGTCAAAAACATTTTCTAAATACTAGTTCAAGGAAACTAATATCAATAACCAGGAACATGATAAAAGAGATGTTTTAGGGACATTTGAAAAGCAATGTGAACATGATACAAAGAATGTAATAATCATTAGAAACCAACCTGACTTTTCTAAAAAAAAAATCACACAACTGACTTCATTTATCTTTTCAATATCATTCTTATATTTAGAAAATAGATTAAATATTACCATATTGTTTTGGGCAAGACACTCATAAAATCAAGATGTGAAAAATAACAGGCTTTAGATGACACATGCCAGGAAGAATAGCTTGTATGATAGATAACCAGAATAATCTTTCCGGCTTACTTCCTCTAGACTACAGCCCAAATTTCTTTGATTACCCTTAGAATGAGGTCTACAATCCATTGATTCTACCAACCTTCACTGACCCCCAAGTGATGCCTTCACTACCCTATTTAGCCAGTTTACATTTCACAGCTCAATCATTACGATCACTCTTACTAGGTCCTTAGCTCCTTTGGCTCTTGCCGGCTTTCTCCACTGAACTTCCACCCTCTACACCTACATCTATGATTGAATCTTAACAAGGCTACAACTGAGCTAGTCTCAATCACATATCCAGTATCACTTTAAATTCATGGACACATATTCTTTAGTACCACAAAAGATCACAATATTTGTACAAATTCTTGTTTGTTCACATTCTCACTCTCTTTAATAAGAGTTTTAGATATTTTTGTCCTTTCCAGTCATCAATAGGTTTTCTTCCATCCTTGCTATGTTTTAATAAATTTGCCTCCAATTGAATTGAGATAACTGGAGTTATCACAACTATTCACATCTATGATCATAAATCCTACTTAACCTTCTGTTAACATAGAAAATTGCCCAGTTCCTAGATGTTACCTGTCAATAATTATGAAGTTTATTTATTTATTATAATTATTTTATTATTTTTTATTAAATTTATTGTTTTAATTTTAATATATTTAAGTTTAATTATTTATTTTACTTTGAGCCTGAAATGTTAGCTTACCAAAAGCCATGAGAGTCTTGGTTTTTATACAAAGCACAGTTTAGTACTCTTAGAAATTTTAGTACCTCATTCATACATTGCTGGTAGGACCTCAAATTGTTGCAAACAGTCTGGAAAGCAGTATGGAGATTCCTTAGAAAACTTGGAATGGAACCACTATATGACCCAGTTTTCCTACTCATCCACATTTATGCAAAAGACTTAAAATCAGCATACTATAGCAATGTGGTCACATCAATGTTGTTAGCAGCTCAACTCACAATAGCTAACTTCGGAACCAATCTAAGTGCCTTTCAATAGATAAATGGATAAAGAAAAAACATAGCACATATACAGAATGTTATATTTCTTAGCCATAAAGAAGGATGAAATGATAGCATTTGCTAATAAATAAATAGAACTGGAGACTATCATGCTAAGTGAAATAAGCCAATCCCCCCCAAAACCAAAGGCCTAATGTTCTCTCTGATATGCAGATATTAACTCACAATAGCATCAGGAGGCAGGGGCAGGAATGGAGGTTCACCAGATTGGATGGGGGGAAGGGAGTGGTGGGAAGGGGAATGGGAATAAAAGAGAGAGTAGAATGAATTGGACATAACATTTCTATGTTCTTAATGATTACATGACCAGTATAACTTCACATCATGTACAATCACAAAAATGGGAACTTATACCCCATGTATATATGTCAAAATACATTCTACTATCATCTATAACTAAAAAGAACACATTTTATTTTTAAAAAAAGAAAATGAAGCACCTACTATACATACATTTTCTTGTGATGTGTCATCCTAATCAGGCCATAGGGGCCCCACATGTTTGTCTAAAATTATTTTGGGGTGTTTCTGGTTTTCTGGTAAATATGGTAATTTCAGTTGCAGACTGATAAAAGCAGATTGCCCTCCCCAATGTAGGTGAGTCTTGCCCAATCTGTTGAATGCCTGAATAGAATAAAAGTCTGAGTCAAAAAGAATTCTCTTTTTTCCCAATTTACTATCTTCAATCTGGAACTACAATTACACCATCTACTTTCTTAGGTCTCTAACTTGTCAACTGCAGATCTTGTACTATTCCACCTCCATCATTGTGTGAACCAATTTGTTATAATAAATAAATAAATCTATCAATTCTGTTTTTTTTAATACCCTGACTAATATAGTTCCCTTGGCCCTGATTTCCACAGGTCTTTGTATTGAGAATAAGCAACATCTGTATATGCAATGGGTTGCATTACAAGAAAGAAATTTTGAGTTTGAAGAACCTGAATATTTTATAATGGGATGTGAACAACTTCTCTTGACCTGTACCCATAGGGAGACATTATCTGTATTATACTGAACAGTAAGAAAACATATTTTAACTTGCTGTGCAAACAACCTTGAAAAAATAGTCCAGAATAAAAGAGAAATATGATAATTTTCTCTCAAGACACATATGAATTTGAGAAAAGATGAAGAATTCATTTCTAACTTGGCCAACCCCTCAAGGTATATGTTTACATTAGCCTGTCTCCTATTGCCTACTCAAGAATGTTGCACAAGTAATTTCCCCTTCTCCCTCCTGAGTGTTTTTTTCTTTCTTTCTTTTTAATTGAATCATTTTTATTTACATAAATTTCTCCTATCTTAAAAATATGGGCTCATTTTTCTCATCTTTCTCCTTTCTTTCATACCAAATCTCACAAGGAGAAAGTAAAACCCTATTTAAATTCATTGCTCCCAGTTTTCTTCTTCCATTATCTCTGTAACTCATTGTAACTAGGTGTCTTCCTTCCAGTCACTCTACCAACCTCCTCTTACCAAGATCACTTTCTTAGTCCATAGAGCTGCTGTGA